TTAATAACATTAAATGTGAATATATTAAACAAGGGGCAGAGATTGTCACATTAGACAAAAGCAGAAGATCCATCTGTGTGCTCTTTACAGGACACACATGTTAAATTCAATAATACAGGGCAGGTGTGGTGGCTCACGCCTGTAATCCCAGAACTTTGGGAGGCCAAGGAGGATGGATCACCTGAGGTCAGGTGTTTGAGACCAGCCTGGCCAACATGGTGAAACCCTGTCTCTACTAAAAGTACAAAAAGTAGCCGTGTATGGTGGTGCAAACCTGTAATCCCAGCTACTGAGGAGGCTGAGGCAGGAGAATCATTTGAACCTGGGAGGCAGAGGTTGCAGTGAGCCAAGATCACGCCACTGCACTCTAGCCTGGGTGACAGAGCAAGACTTTGTCTCAAAAAGAAAAAAAAATTCAATGATACAAACAGACAAAGTTAAAGGATGAAAAACTACCATGGGAACAGCAATCACAAGAAGGCTGGAATTGCTAACATCAGAAAAAATAGACTTACAAATGCTACTGGTGATAAAGAGGGACATTTTATGATAAAAGGGTCATCAATTAGGAAGCTATAACAATTATAAACCCATATGCACCGAATCACAGACACCCAAATACATGAAGCAAAAAGTCACAGAAATGGAGAAACAGATAACTCAGCAATAATAGTCGGAAATGTCAGTTCCTCACTTTCAACAATTGATCAAAAAACTAGGCCCAAGGTCATCAAGGAAACAGGAAGTGGAACCATACAAGCCTGTCAGACTTACCAGATCTCTAGAACACTCTACCCAACAGCAACAGAACCTGTATTCTTCTCAAGTGTCCTGGAGACATTCTCCAGGATAGACCATACATAGATCACAAACCCTTTAAATAAAGAGAATAGAAATAATACATTTCATATACTCTGCCCACAATAGAATTTAATTAGAAATGACTAACAGAAGGACATTTGGGAAACTCACATAAAATAACACATGTCTAAATAGCAAGTTTAAGAAGAACCCAAAAGGGAAATTTGAAGCACCTTGAAATGAATTAAAAAGAAGACACAACACAGGTGGAGCAGCAGACTGAAGAGTGAAGCCCCTCCCTGGAGCCCGTGGACTGCCCTGCGCCTCCAGGTCTACGCTCCGCCTCCAGGTCTACGCTCCGCCTCCAGGTCTACGCTCTGCTCTGTGTCCTCGCACTCTCTATGGAGCCATCGAAGGCTTGGTTCCCCCATCTGCCTCCCCGGTAGTGCAGACGGGCACCACAGGGAGGGCCCAAGGAGGTGGCATCTGTAGTGGCGGCCCCCACCCTGCTATGTGGGTACTAATGCGGGACCCTCTTTCATACAGTGGAGCTGATCCCCAGCCACAGGATGAAGAAGAAGGGCCCCAGCCTGCCCAAGGGCCTGGATGTGAAGGAGCAGGGGCAGTAAGTGTGTCTGCGGGCTGGGTTCTTTCCAGGATGGCAGCCTGTGTTTGGACAGTGCTGCTGTGCCTGGCCTGACCACCTCATCCCGGGACAGCCTCTGCCATCTGATACCCAAGTGGCATGGCCTCCTCCCGGAAGTCCTGCTGGCAGGCTCTGGGCTTCAGCCAAGATGAGGTGCAGATGATGCACCCTGCAGATGAGGGTGCAGAGTCACAGGGCACACTCATGGAGCTGCCCTGGGCTGCTCCCAGTGGGTCAGAGAGGGGTTCCATGTCCTGCAGGAGGGTGGCCACCTCCCGTCCCAGAGACAGC